GATCACAAGTCCGCATCTTGTACAGCAATTAACCACTAAGAAGAATATATGCAGTGTATTATTTGTTGAAAAATAAAAAAAATTAAAAAAAATAAGTAGATGGATATTAATAGGTGAAATAAATCAGGCTCACATGTGCAAACATGGTATTGACTGGCCAGTGCAAGAATCTGAGGTAATAAATAAAATTTGAAAGGTAAGTAGATACTGTGAAGGGGAAAGAATCTGTTTAAAAGGAATCATAAATTGGGAAGAGAAAAGTGACAGAAAAGGGAGGGTGGTAAGAGATACATTTATATTATTTATATGTTTATGCAGTATGGATTCAATAATTGTACTGCTGGTTTCTGCTGGTCTACAGAGAAGCAGTAGATGCTAATTTTTTTCTTTTCCTTTTTAATTACTCAATAATATTTATCTATTTTTTGTGTTTTCTTTTTTCTTAATTTTATTGAGAAAGAAATAGCAATGAGACAGTATCAAAACAGGTTAGTGGGACAGTTACAATGATTAATACATTGCATATTCTTGACTTCATAGTATTTATTCAGAGTACAAGATGCAGACATGATATCTTGTCTAAACACTATTAGTATAAATCTTTCTTCTCATTGAACTAAGAGAAAGTAGCTGTATATCTATCCTGTTTTGTATATACAGATATATATATATATATATATATATATATATATCACTACAAAATGGTCTTTCATTTATATCCCCTTTTTTGTTTAGTTTTGTCAGAGATGGGTACTCAATTGCCATTCAGATATTGCAGTTGTGTGAATTCAGCAAAATAATCCAATGTAATCCAACAGAACATAATAATAGTAGGTTATATGCAGAACTGGCAATGTCAGAAGTTCTTGACTTGAGCCTTTTACACCTCAGCATATTAATATGGTTTTACTTTTTATACCTCGTGCTTATAATTTTCTGCTGGCTAGTTAAGACCAAGATAAAGCAAGAATTATATAATAAAAAATGTAACTTTTGTATCTGACAAGGTCAGTCCAATCTGTCAGGATTTACTCTGAAACCCTGTACAGCAGTTTGTAGATCCTTTGTCAGTGTCAGCCATGTAGAAGAGTCATGGCCATTGCTTGACCAATATGCTCCCTGTGAAAGCCTGAGAGAATGTTTTCTCTTTATATGACTCTCCTTAGGCCCAGTCTACATAACTGATCACTTTCTTCTGTGGCCCCATAATATCCTTGAACAGAAAATTTGAGACACCTCTGAGTTGCAGGATGTTACAGTAGAGATTCCCTTACGTCTTGAGTCCTCACTGACCTTGAAGGGTAAGGCCAAAATATTGGCTATCCTTGTATCCCTTCTTTTTGTCTAATTTTTTGGCCTGCAAACTTAAGTTGTTGGGGCTGGTGAGATGGCTCAGTGGTCTAAAGCACCTACTTAGAACAAGCTTAGCTAAAGCACAGGGACCGCGGTTCAATCCCCCAGCACCACATGCCAGCCAACCCCGCCCCCTGGTGGGCTGAGCTGGCCACACACACACAAATAAATAAAAAAAAACTTAAGTTGTTAACCCTCTGGAAGAGAAGCTTAATGATATTATTACCATATAATGTCTTTTTTCTTTAAAAAAGGCATTTACTTGCGAAAGAGTGTAGCAAGTACAGCTTAACATATCTGTCTGAATACCAAATGCCGAAGACAAGATGAAGCAGGTATTTTCCAACAATGATTGATATGCTAAATTTCAAATCCCTATAGAATGTGAAAAAAAATAAAAACATAGACTAGGTGTGGTGACATGCAACCTTAATCCCAGCTCTTAGGAGGCAGTAAATAGGTGGATCAATATGAGTTCAATCTAATAGTGAGCCCCTGAATGCCCTGTAGACCATTTCCCCCCAAAAATAAAGGAAAAATGAAAAAATAAAATATGAAATAAACAATTACACATTTTTACACAGAAATTTAGAAATCTAACCATATACAGCACTGTAGCAGGACACTCTTATTACATATTTTTCTTGTCTCTTGATATTTTTATTACCTCTTCTTTAAAAATGGCATTTACTTGAGAGAGATTATAGCAATAATTGAAATGACATTACAGGCAGTATGCATTTAGAAGACCAGAATGACAGGCATTCCAAGCATGGCCCTAGAATTATACTTTGCTATTCTCCATGCAGTTGCTTAGTTCACAGGAATCAGCATATATAGTTAATCAGGGTGAGAATCCTACCAATTAACTGCTAGTAAGAAATGCTGATGGAGATTTTTATGAACATCATCTTAACCATCGTCTGTATATAAATTTATGGTTTTGCCCCTGCCATGTTTTCTAGCTTTCCACCTTGTCCTCTCTTCTTTGTTTAATTCTTAAGTTCTCAATTTCAATTCATTTGTGCAATACCTTTCAATTATTATTTCTTCTTTTGAGTTCTTACACTAAGAAGACTATGTGATGTTTACACATGTGGGTCTGGTTTATTTCACTTATGAGTATATCTTCAACTTGCATCCACTTACATATGAAGGCTTAGAGCTTATCATTCTTTATAGGTGAGTAATACTCCACTGTATAAAAACACCTCATCTTTTGCATCCATTCCTCAGGTGATGGGCATTTTGGATGCTTCCAAGATTTGACTGTCACAAATTGTGCTACTATAGACATAGGTGCACATATATCACTATCATATGATGTTTCAGTTGCTCTGGGAAAATTCCCAGTAGGGGGATAGCTTGGTTGAACAGGATTTCCAGGCTTATTTGTTAAAGTAATTTTATTGAGAAAGAAATAGCAATGAGATACTTTCAAAAAAAGGTTAGTAGGACAGTTGCAATAATGAATACATTGGTTATAGTTGTCTATAACCAATCTAATAGTTAGTTATTGTAGTTATTCATAGTAAAGTTGCAGACATGATGACATGTCTAAACACTATTAGTACAAATCTTTCTTCTCATTGAACTAAGACAAAGTAGCTGTATATCTATCCTATTTTGTATATGTATACATATATATTTTTTCTTTTTCTCACTGCAAAATTGTCCTTCATTTGTATTCCCCTTTTTTGTTTAGTTTTGTCCGGGATGGATATTCCATTGCCAATCAAATATTGCAGGTGCAAAACAGAACTCCCTGCAAAGACACTTGAGGCAAGACCCACCCAGCTGATCCAGGAGGAGAATATCTTGCCAGAGTGGCACAGGGGGTTCAATTCAAAGGGCTACAGCAAGAAAAAGTGGAGCACAGCAGCCAGACCCAAGACACACCCACCTGGAGGAGTTTGAGCTTGATAGATCCAGACCTGGTGCTAAGGTTATAACTCTATCTAAGCTCTACACCAAAGTTCAGAAGACAGAGGTATACAAAATGACAAAGAGAAGGAGCAAAATACAATCTCAGGCCCCAAGCCCATCCAAAACAAATGCAGGAGACAATAGCATAGAAGAAATTGGAAATTGCACACCTGAAATCTCTGAAATAATAGTGTTGGAAGTACATAAACAACTGCAGAAAGGTGAAGAGAAAATCAGATCAAAAATAATCCCTGAGGGCCAGGGAAATAGCTCAGTAAAATAAGTGCTTGCCTGGCAAGTGCAAGGACCTGAGTTCAATCCTTGGTTCTGACTGCCTGCCCCCCGGCAAAA